TAGCAAATCTGAAATGTTTCAAAGGGGACTTTCTGACTTTTCGTCTGCACGGATAGTACAGAAAAATGGGTCTAGATCTCCATGTTATACACGATGAGGCTGATAAAAGTGGTACGCTATAGATCTGATAAAACAGTCCTTTTACAATATGCAGCAAAAAGCTACGAATTATCTAACTCGTATTTTAGAGTTGCTACCTACAACAACTGTACAAGCAGTGAACATACGATTGAATCCCAATACGTACACTTTGCACGAAATTCATGAAAACTTATGCTTAGTTAAAGAACTAATATAAAAATAATTAGTGAAAATAATATTTTTCAGACTTCGAGACGTATTTTATGAAGTACTGTTTCAATATGGCTATAGTGAATGTTATTGAATTCCATTCGACAGAAACTAATTGACATCAAACAATTCTGAAAGAAGGATATCAATTTCTGATTCATCAAATTTTTCATATAGTCTTTTTTCAAAAGTAATCTCTATCGATATTTATCATAATTTATTGAACTTTATCGATTCTTGAGTTGAGGATGTGGTTTGAGTATAGATCTTTTCTGATCAACTGTACTTTGGTCAATTAGATTTTCGCCGTATAAATTCGGAACAATAGACACAACAGTAAGGACTGTAGTAAGTCAGTTCCATTTCAGCTAATATAATATGCGTGTGGGTGCGAATGCAAACCACACTGTAATTAGTCGTTAATTGAGTTTCTCGTGAACTTGTACATAGTTTCTGACTTGATTCATGTATGTTGTTTTTGTTCGATCAATGTTCGTCATACTGAATTTATTTTTTTTTTTTTTTTTTTTGTTTTCTTCATTCAGCATCTCATGGCAGGTTACTTTCTATGCAAGTTATGTGTCTATTTTTTGAGTTTTTCGGTGATGTCGATATATATAATACGTTCAGTTTTTTTCTGATATTCGCTACTTAAATAGTACAGCTTAGACGCGGATGGATACACTGTCCTCTAATGAATGATAAACCTATATTTTTCAAGGATAAAGACATCTTAGACAGCTTTATCAGAGATTTGGAAGGATAGGCTAAATCTGAATCTGTAAATGGTTTCTACATATTTTGTAGCTTGATTTTTCTTCTCAAAATAGACTTTCCACGATGAAAAACTTAAATAGAAAAATTTCCAATTAACCGGATAAAACTATGACTTTTGATTGGAAACAATTCGGTGTGTTTTCTGTTGAAATAATTACTTTATGATACAAAAGTTACGTTAACTGAGAAATCAAGTATAATTGATTACTATATGACATTCCACTTGAGAAAAAACTGAAGTTTTGATTTTCAAAGATAACTTGTGTGTTTATTCGTTCTTAACTGGGACACTAATTGCTTATTTTTACCCATAAGTTGATCCGTTTTAACGTAAAGTTTAGAAAATGGAAGGGCTCGAGAGAACTATATTTTTCATTTATTTATATGTTGTTTTTCAAGGCAAACCATGAATTAGAACGAGTATATGACCAAATGCCGCTTTTTTTTCAAAGCTTCTCTATTTTCTCTTATCTTTATTTCCTAAACCGTCTAGAAGTGATTAATTCTGATTTAGTATCAAAACTTGAATGAAAAAATGGAATTTAATTGAGTTTAGAATTAATAAAAATCTTCTTTCTTCTCTTCGTATAATCTATTGTATCCGTTTAGTTTCGAGTGAATGTTAATTAAAATGATAACTTGAGTATTTTATTTCGGTATTAAATAATTATCTACTAAACTTGAAATAAATCGATGGATACAATGCTCTATGTGTTAGTTGCATCTCTTTTTTAAGGACGAAGCGATTATTTTCTTATTTGATGGTGAGTCTGATTGAGATGAATATATGTTAAGGACACAATAGTTGATTTTTCTTAATGTTGAATAGCTGAAAAATTAAATAGTTGATAAGACGCTAACTAATTCAAAATTCACATTTACTTTTTACAACAGTGTATAAATTAGAGAAAACATTCGCAATCTATACTGTGGTTGCAAGTCGTAAATTCTATACTATTTATATACTCGATCTATGACACACATCAATTATGTCAAAAATTATGAAAGAAAGACGGTAACACGAGTACATATGTATAGATATTTATACAAAAGAACAAGTGTATCCTTTTTATTACGAAAGCGACAATAATATTAGTTTTGAAAAGGTACATTTATTCAAATCTTTTCTTACGACATGTAAGTCATCATCTGTAATAAATATTGACTTGAGATTGAAAGGATGTGACATAGAACTTTTAGCGAAAGATTCTACAAAAATCGATCAACATACTTCAAGTTAGAGGATAACAAAGTTTTTAAAGACAAATCTTCATCTTCGATTAATAACGCTAAACTGATACCAAGTAAAAATGTAAAATGTAATTAGAAAATTGTGAATCACCACAAAAGATGCACTAATCTCTCTGCCATACGAAACATGTGAACAAAAATTTGGGAGACCAGAATTTCGGCCCACAAAAATTCATGTAACCCAAAATTTCATTTTCAAATAAAAAATATTAGTTCAACTGCTTTTTATTAAGTTATATAAAGATTGATTATGATACGAAAACTAGACCAATAGAAAAGTATTTTAATCATGGCATCCATCTGTGTCATTTGATCATGTAATTAAAGTTAATACCACATGTGGAAAAAGGAGCGCTAAGTTCATTGAAAGAAACCAAAGTTCACTTGAACATACCTACGTAAATAGTAACAAGTGAACCATTTCAGTAATTTTTCTATTACAATGTTACTTTTCTACTATAACAGCAAATTGTTGCAAACTTCATGAGCTATCAACTGGTTTAATGAATGGTTTCATCGCTTCACTATGAAAATAACGGGCTTACAAAATAAAAATTTTCAAAGTTTTCGTATGGTATAATTTGAAGAATAAACTCACTGTTGATTTAGATATGTTTCGAAATCTTCTCGATAACTCAGCGAAACACATATGCTAAGGTGTGCAATTCATCATGGGGCCACTTTGAGGCAACTGAAGACCAACGAAGAACAAAGCTAATATAACCATTATAAAATTCAACTCATAAGAAATTGAAATTGTATTTATTATGAATTAAATTTTCTCAGAAATTATAACAAAGTAGATGTTTATTTAACAAGATATGTCAAAAATGCATTTGTTCTTTTGACATTAAGTTTTATCAGCGTACACACGTGCTGTGTTGTATTACTATAATAGCATTGGTTAGATGTTACTTTTTACCCACTCAATAATGTGGTGGTCACTAGACCATATCATTAGCATGTTAGAAAAGTTAAGACTCTATTGACAGAGTTATTTTATCAGTAGTTCTTTTGGAACTACTGTGTGAGGTAAAGGGCTAACCAACTAAAAAAAACATCTAAATCTTTTTTAGCTTTAGACTCTACAGAGAACATAAGAATAAAAATAATTCATAGTGATTGTGCGACTAATAACATTAAAAATGAGAAAAAACAGCAATATACAATTGAATTTATTAGAACTCAGTATTGTTATAAAAAGAAACAAGGCGTTTAGTGATACTACAGAAAATTCACTACGTTTTGAGTGTGGGTGTTAGCTAAATTGTAGAATACAGAATCACGCCTACATCCTACCCACACTAGCACTCTTTACAGCTTAAGCTTTATTTACATGTTGAAATGTATATTTTTTCGAGTTTTTTTTCTTCAACTACATTTTGTTCATACCAATATTAGTCACATATTATTTTAAATGAAGGTACATAAAAGTTTGTCAAGAATTAAATCATACGTCTTTGAAAAACAAGTTCAAAATTTCATCTTTTCTCTAAACTGAGATAGATGTAAAATACAAAATCTTGCAAAACTTGTGTGATACCTACTAGGATTTTAATGCAATGACCTGAAGTTGATTTTCAAGAAAACTTAATCATAGCTTTGTAGAAATCTTCCTGGATCTCTCATTACAATTTACTCTTTTCAAATTACTCCTAAAATTTACACATCTCTATATTTTTTCTATTAGAACCTCGGATACAATTAACATTAGTCTTGCCAGTATTTCAAAGATCTCCCATGTATTTCTTTCAAGCTTCATCGACTTCGAAATTATATAAATTTTATTATTATCGTGCTAAAGGCTTCTGAAGATGCTCCTTCGAAGAGATTAACATAAGCTGCCAAACAGCTAATAAAATCCCATTTGCATCCTCCATTCCGATGATCAGAAATTTTCTCTTATAACGTGAAAAGCATTTTCAAAGATGCATACTAAATGATTTAGTTACTTAGATTCTCTTCGTGATTCTGATACAATGGTTTCAAGTTCGTTTTCACCACAATTTAATCGTAGCTTTGTAGAATTCTTTCTGGCTATGTCATTGAGACTCAGTCTTTCCAAAATTTATCTAAAAACCATCGATCGATATACTTTTGTATAAAAAGCCTCGTTATGATTAGCATTAATCTACGGGATGTTTCACAAGTAGAAGGCAACAGATTCCAAAGATCTGCGCCAATACCTGTCAAGTTTACTCAGTTTCGTATCCATACACATTGTCTTACGATTTTGCTAAGATCCTATCAACATACTGTATCCTTAAGTTCTCACGAAAACATAATTGTTAGGTTTGCTGTTTATTGTTCAAGAATTCAACATCCTCCCAACATGATCGTGTTTTAAGAGTCTGACAGAGTTCATTATTTCATTGTTCAACTCTTTATCTGATATTCATATAGATTCTCTAAGGATTACTGCTTCCAAATAAATCGAATTAGCAGTACTCTTTCTTGAAAAGCTTCTTACAGTAATATCCAGATGCAGTTTTGCATCGAAAAGAGGCTGGCAATGAGTAGATGTGACATAGATTTAAGAATCATTGCGAAATTCTTTTCTTTGTATTGAAAACTAGAAGAAGGTTTCTGAATTTTTATTTATGGAAAAAATATTGTGAAAAGTTGTACTGAATAGTTTTCGAGGATGAATGCTGCATTTGTAGCTGTTGCTCTCGCGAGATATGAGTTGTTTTTTTGACAATGATGATTCATTTTCTATCTCGTTCATTGTAGTGATTTCCAGTATTTCAGTCAGTATCCGATCGATACAGAGTGTGGCAACTGTTGCTGGAGGCCACGGATATGGCATTGCCACGAATCAACTCAAAAACCCTTACGGTCTCTTCGTTGATGATAATCAAACAATAGCCATTGCTGACTATGATAATCATCGTATCGTCCAATGGAAGATAGGTGATATAAATGGACAAGTGGTAGCTGGTGGTAATGGCGAAGGGAATCGATTAAATCAATTGAATCGACCAACCGATGTGTTGATTGACAGGGAGACTGATAGTTTCATTATCTGTGATCGAGACAATCGACGAGTTGTACGATGGTCTCGTCGTAGTGGCACAATTGAAGGAGCTATCCTCGTTGACAACATTAAGTGTTTTGGATTGGCCATGCATGGTCAGAGACATCTTTACATCTCTGACACTAGAAAACATAATGTAAGACGATATCAAATAGAAAATAAGAATGGAGCTATTGTAGCTGGTGGTAATGGCAAGGGTGCTAATCTCAATCAATTCAACTTTCCAACCTACATTTTTGTCGATCAACAACAGGCTGTCTACGTGTCGGACTACTACAATCATCGTGTGATGAAATGGAATAAAGATGCACAACAAGGAATTATCGTTGCTAGAGATCAAGACGAAGGAAATTCTGCGACACAATTGTGGTATCCTGAAGGGCTATTCGTCGATATGTTGGGTACCATCTATGTGGTCGACTCGGTAAAACATCGAGTAATGCGTTGGTCTAATGGAACGCAACAGAGCAGTGTCATTTTCGGTGGAAATGGTCGAGGAGAAGGAGTGAATCAGTTAAACGCTCCCATCGGCTTGGCCTCCGATCGACATGACAAACTCTACGTCACCGATGCTGGAAATCATCGTGTTCAACGCTTTTCTATCGAATAGACTCATAACAATGGATTTCTTTTTTTTTCTTTACATAAATTACGTTGAATTGATGAAAGGAATAGCTATTTGATTCACGAATACGACCAGAAGCCATCCTGGTGGAATCGTGGCGAGTGCGACACTCATGTACGTAAGGAACAAACTCAAATCATCCATATCAGAGATGTTTCAAAGAATCTAGTGAAAACCTGGTCGTGTGTCATGGATACCAAGACAGTGTCAGACTGAGCTTTTAGAGACTAACCGGAAGTTCTTCAGATAGCCGAGATCTAATCTCAATGAACATGATTCACCCTTCCTACCAGAACAAAAGCGATATTTTCATCATTTATAACTTGTCTAAATTAATGATGCAATAGGTTTTCAGTCTTTCTTCTGCTATCTAAATATATACTTAGATACAGAATTCTGTAGAACTAACTTCATGCTATAAAATTAAGTTTTTGAGTTGAACAACTTTTAGCTAAAATAAAAGAAAAAATGAGCCAAATAAAATTTTTGTATCGATTTTAGTTTGGAGTTATTTCAAACATTTGCTTATATTATAGGACATCCTACTAAAGATCTAAAACAGAAAGGAATATTTTTTTTGTAAGGTTTTACAGTAGAAGTAGCTCTCGGATAAACATCTTCATCACAAGAAATACTATAGAATACTTCTAAGAATCTTTCGTTTTTTTTCTTAGTACTCTTCGAGAAATGAACTCCAAATGTATTACTTTTCTCGAAGAAAAGCTTAAAGTTATGCCACCGAGGAAGTAAAGTGATCACTAAACATTGTTCAACATATCATTGAACTTTTTCTTGCTTTTTAGATTAGATATTAAAAGACAAGATCAATTTTTAAATAAAATCCTATCAGAAACTGTTCCATCTATCGAAGGAAAAACGTAAGATAGAAATAAGAAAAGATGATTGACAATGTATTGTTGTTTCGAACCTTCGTTCTATACATATCGAAATTTTACTGGACGTTTTAGCATAAAAACGTGTACTTGCTCGTAGACCATCTAGTAAATAGAAAATCTCAAATATTTAATATCTCTGGATTGAAAAAGAAAACTAGAAAACTCACAACTTGTCCAAAGAGTCAAGTTGATGTTCATACAAAATTTGAATTCTAAAGTCGGTTTTTCATGTGACTTGAGTAAGCGCCTACAGGTTTTTGTTGAAAAAACGACCAAGATCCGAAAAACGAAACCATTCTAAACTTTCAAGGGTATCTCATTCATAGCCCAATATGAATACAGCGGAGTGGAGAATCTTTTTTGCGCTTAATGAGATTCAGAATGACAAACCTGTGGGTGGAGCTCTTGTGACTATGCCTGAATGTGCATTATGGGGTTTACATGTTGCACCTTCATATCGATGTTTAGAAATTAGACGAGCTTTATTAAAACATGCTATTCAATGAAATAAACAACAAAGAGTAACAGCATGTATGAATATTAAAATACAAAACACAAATGTATCTGCTGGTCGATTCTATGCAGCTATGGGAGCTAGATTGGGTAATATTGATAGGAAAGAATATGAAAATGATGAAGTAGTGAAAGATGAAATTCAAATTAATTGGAACATTGATTCAAACTCATGGTTGATTTATAATTTGCAAAAATACCTTTTCATGAATTCAGTATCATCAGTAAGAACTATTCGACTAATTCTTTCAAATATAGATCTATAAATTGGCGCGTGCATGTGAATATGTCATTATTACGTTCACACACATCTTGCAAGAGTATTTATAGTAAGAGTTTCTTTGAAACTAAATTATTCTTGAATTTAAACGCAACATTCTCTATTGTTTACAAGAAATTTCCCCAACATGAGCGAAATTACAAGTTTAAAATCATGGTTTTTTTTTCGCATGATGGTTGCCATGTGTTATTACGAATTAAGCTCAACTAATTAATGGTGAATTTTAAGAATCAAGTAAAAATGTCCATACAAATTACTGGTAGAGCAAAACATATTTCAATGCATAGAAAACATGTTAAATGTATTGATATGTTAACTAGAATTAGTTTTCTTTCCCAAAATTTATATAAACATTATTTGAAGTTTCTATTACAAAATTCTGATTTATATATGTTCGATTCAACTACTCGATAATGCATATATATTCTAAACTATAGATTACATCAAATAATCACAACAAATATTGATTGATAAGTTCCTTATATGTGAATATTTTTGTACAAAAACACCTTTGTTTGAAATATTCAAATGTCTCAATAAATTCATTGTTTAAGAGAAAATCTGTTTTTTTGTATTCAATAACTAAGAATTATTATTATAGACAACTGATTTGTAGGTCATGTTCCACTGACCAATATCAATAGTGTGTAGAATGAAAACAATGCTACTTTCTTGAATTTCAAAGGTATAGAGTAATTTTAAAATTATTCAATAAGAATAACTATAAAAAATTCAATATTCTTTTTTCGCCTGTTATGATGCGCAACATTTTGTATTTTTTAGAGAAAAATAAAGCAAAAATTCAATGATGACTATCAATTATTTTCGATATTATTTCCAGAGAGCTTCTTCTTTTTTTTCTATGTGCTGAATAATAAAACATTATCATCTATTAATCAATCCACTTGTATGTAGATTATATATGATTCTTATAATACTTATATGTAATTTTAAATTACCATACTTCAATAAAGTTATTTGTCTACGAACTAGTTTATGATTCGCCAACAACCAACGTCAAATTCTTCTAAAAAATTATGTTTGATTGATTTTTTGACAAAATCTAAATTAATCTAATTAAATACATAATTGAAAATGAAGAATATCTAATTTTAGGCAATTCCACAAAGACAAAAACCAATAGTTCAATCATTTTCAACTTATTTTGATTCTACTATTTGAAAAACTCTTTTTGTCATATGATCATAAGATCTTGCTTTTATCCAATATATACTCTTAATAGAACTAATTGAAAATTATTTTCTATAGTAGAAACATTCATTAAAATTGTTACAAGTAGAGATTGTGGATAATCTTCATTGAAACTAGTTCATAAGAAACTACGAATACAAATCAATAAAATTTCAATTGAGACAAACGATTCTTAGACGATCCTATACTTTTCTAGTTTAATAAAGCTCTTTAAATATTTGGAATAAAAGAGTGAAATGCGAATAATAATTCCAATTTATGAAATTTATATTGAATAAATCTGTTGTTTTCTCTTGAATATTTATTCATAGTTTATAGTTTTATTTTCAATTTTGTTTATCAGCAATTTTTTAGACATATTTTAATTCTATTTCCGTAACTTGTGTATTTATGTTAATCATATTTAATTTTAAAAGCATTTTTTTTAATTACTTTTCTCTTGCTTGGCAATGTTGGAAAAAATTTCTTGATTGCATGGCAAACATTAAAGAAGCATATGAAAAGTAAAAATAAATTGAAAGAAAAAAAAATGAAATATTTTAACTCTATTTATTCAGTAGAGTAAATGAATATTACTCTGATTTTAGTTTAACATCTAGGCGCATGTTTGGATTCAATTTACTTCAAACAATTTATTGTTCAACAGGAGACTTTTTACTTTGTATTGAAAATTCGCCTTCTATGTCAATAATTTCGTTCAATATCGTTTCAATGGAGAAAATCCGTAGGAGTACCATAGTATTCTTTGCAGGTAATGACTTAATATCTGGTCAAGACATATCAATCAATATCTAATCATGATAATGATTTTGTTTTCATTTGTGAAAATAAGACAAAGAGGTGTCGTATAAAAACAATATGTTTCGAACGAAATTTTGATTTTTCCGGTTCATTTTGACTATAATCAATTACAAAATGATTATAATGCTGAAAGTCTTATTGGCAGCGACTGTAATCAAATTATTTTTAAGTAAGATTCAAGACTACAAACTATTGCTGAAAGTTATAACTAGAGTTGAAAGTTATGACTATTACAAAACTTTCAAAGACATAATTTTTATTTAAAACTGAGTACGCTTGATAACTGTATATTCAATACAATGATTGTAATTATCCCTGTTTTGTTCATAGACCTAAACATAGAAGAGACTAATCAGAGAATAATGTATAAATACTACGTTTTTAAAGTAAAGAACAATGAAATATCTATAACTTAATTTATTCCTTTATAAAACAAGTCGATTAAATCGAAATAATTACCATATCAATCTAAATAAATTTACTGAAAAATTCAAAACGTTAATCAAGTAAGCATGTTTCATTGTTATAGATACACATGATCATTATAACTCGGATTGGAAATAAAAACTGTTGTTGATACTTATAATCTGAATTATTACCACCTTAACTTTTGCCTATTTTCCTCAACTATCAACTTTTTCAAAAAACAGTTTTAACTCCCTCATTGTCTACCATAGAGAATTGAATAGTATTTTTTTCAATTATGCACTATATAAACCACACCAAAATAAATTCTACTTTCAAAAACATCACTGACAATATTTTATCTTTATACAATATACATACAATTTTTATCGCGAAAAATTCAACCAGATTATCGTATTCGATAGTAATAATTTGCTTTTTACAACTATGTGGTGAACAAAACCACAATGCACTTCACGTACATATAGTGTGATAATTACTATATCTTTCTTTACTGTAGGATGTTGCTCTGGCAAAATAGTGTTGCTACCAGCTCGCACGTTTTTCGCCATCGCAACATGTATTTGATCAGAGTTGATCATTTACCTCTTGGTAAGTTGTAATAAGCAACTTCTCTCATCAATCTGTAAACCACGACATCTGTCTTGTCTTTACACGTAGTGTGTGAGAACAGACGATCGTAAAAAAATGGAATGTGTAAGAATAAGACTAATGTCGTGCTTTGCATACGAACGGGAAAAGTTGTTTATTATAATTTACCAAGAGGTAAATGATCAATTCTGATCAAACATATGTTGCGATGACGAAAAAGTGCGGATGGGTGATACACCAGTCTGCCAGAACAACATTTTTGTATAATTGTAAACGATTAAACTCAACTTATCTGATATTCAAGTGTGATATGTACCTCATTGACATTACTCCAAGGAATTTAGTTCCATCTAACAAGTTCAGAAATGATCGATGTATTTTTTACAGACAAACATGTATATGATCAGACTTTTTTTTGGTTTTTAATGTTTTTTTCTATTATGTTTTATAGATGTTTCGCGATGTTTGGTATAAACAACAGTAAGGATGCAAGAAATAACTGAGATTCTTTAACTACATAAATGTATAGCAGAAAAACTATTTTCGATATTTTTTAAACAGTTCATGTTTAAGTTTGTTCGTTGCATTAGCAGGTCGCTGAAGAGATGTCGTCGATGGTACAATTTGTTTTGTAGATTTTTCTTATTTATGTTCATTTGAATCTCTGTGTGGTAGAATTTTTCGAAGTAATTTTTGTTCATCTTAGTTGAAAATAATAGATTATCTTCTTCTTTCAGTACTCCTGTCATGACTTTGTTTGAATAACCTTGATTAAAAAGAAAACTTTGTCGCTTCGCTGAATAATAAATTTCAAGAGTATCTTGAGAAACAAGTGAATAAGAAAATGGTATTAAATTCTTTAAGATTAGAATTTTTTTGTGATCGTAAAATATGACCAAGTCGTTGTGCTTCTTGTCTTCCTGATCCATTATGACTTGAAGTTTGTATTAATACATTAGCATCAGATCAATCAAATGATATATCAGCAACTTTTAAAACAAAAATTATTTTTATATTTAAATCATGTTGAAAATCATGCAAAATGTGCATAAGTTTTTAGAGCAAACATATTATCAGAAAAAAAGATTATTTTATCATCACGTTTTTTATCATAACGTATTAATAACTTACATCTACGAAAATTTATTTGGATTCATAGTATATGAAATTAAACGTCGATGTGGATGTGGGTGTAAACAAACAAGAGATGAAGACCCACACCCTTCTTTCATTTTTAGACCAACGACAAATGTGTGCCAACGAAATCGATACAGAATAAAGTCTTATATTATTTTGATCATCTTCAATTGAAACACTCTGAAATTTTCGATATTATTTTGGATTATTTTTTTCGTTCTTCACTTGATGGATAAAATCCTTGAAAATTATCTTTAACTGTATCCATATATTGACCAGTTTCATGATTCATTGGACGTTTTCTTTTTTCTCAAAAGAATAAAAAAAAGAGAGAATTTGTTAAAGCTAGTGTCAATAAAAGACGACTGCCAAAGTTTTCTAATTGTTACATTCGAAGTCAAGGTAACAGGGCGATTGAGACAGCTAGAATAGATACTCTCGTGCATGATGCATTTGATAAAAATATTAAACATTCAATTAGAATATGACTAAAATAAAGATGTGGTCTATTATTGACTACAGAATCTTTGACATTGATCGTAATCAATTTTTCTTTCAATAATCGAATATTAAGATTCAGTAGATGTGAAGGAACAAATATGTTAATGGAATTAAAATATCTTCATCATTACGTAACACTAACTATTCTGGTATTGTAATCATAGTAATTGTCATTCTAAGTTGTGTCTGAAATTGATCATTGTGTTCTAATAGCCAGAAAAGTTTAGTGAAATGATGAATTAATGAGGAAGATTTTCGATCGGGAGAAAATCGTACGTCTGTCGATAAAAAACCAATAAGTAATTGATTCTCTTTTCGAAGAGAATCAGATAGATATAATGTCACTCGTTTATCGGCCTTGGCATTTCTTCGAAGAAAATTGATGTTGAAGAAGATCGTAAACGAACTACACTTCTTAATGAATTTAACATATCGAGAAAATGAATTCTGGCTGATTCAACATATTGAAATTTGTTGACGTTAGTTAAAATAAATTTTATTGTTTCATTTTCTACGAATCGATCATTTTCATCAACAGGAAAATAGAATTGACGTAAAATCATTGAAATATATTTAATCTATTTCGTACACATACGTAAAAAAGAATTAGAGATAATATCTAAATTATTTTGTAAATATTCAATATCATAAAGGCAAATAGTTGCAATACACAAATCGACTGCTTCGGAGGATTCATCATGATTTTTGATTAACATCACAAAATATTTTATACATTCTTGTTGTAATTTTTTTAAATTTTGGTCTTGTTTATCAAGATTGTTTCGTGAAAAAAACCGTATTAACATCGATGTTAATACAGTTGATTCTCGATGAATATGAGATGCACTGAAGACAACTGTTTGACCATCTCGTGTTAAACCATCATATAAACTCATGATTAATGGCAAGAAAATCGCAGATATCGAATTAATTTCAATATTCTTATTAAGTAGAAGCCTTTTGAAAGTAATTGGATTCGAAAGTAGTAACTGATGATTTGAGAAAGCAATTTTATCTAATAGTCGATCAATAGCAAATCCGTTATTTTCATTATCAAGTGTTGATAAGGATTGAAGCATTGAGCAAGATGTTTGATCTAACCATTTAATAGTTTCAAATTCGTGAAGTTTTTCTTCGAGAAAATGACAAAGAACTGTTATTGTTTGAATATCATGTTGAGAAGATTCAGACAAGAAATTATTAATCCATAATGAAACAACATTATGACGAAATTTTCTCAATATATTTGTAATTTGATCGAATAAAAACGGACAAACAATTGACCATCTATGTTGAACAGCTGCAATTATTAAACAATCTAAAGCATTGAATAAAACGTCATTCGAAGGATAATTAACAAAATCATCGACATAATTAATTAATATATAAGCACTAAGTGGTAGTAGAGAATCATATTTGTTTTGAGCTTGTATAAATTCATAGCAGAGATCGTTAAAATTGTTTCGGGCCCAAGAAGGACTAAGTTTCCCTAAAGCAATTGCAATAGGTACTCGAAACCGTAGATCCGTCATATGACAATATAGCGATTGAGTGAGTAGTTGAATTTTCTTCTCTCTATCGAATCTATCAGTAATGAATTTCTATTTTTTTTTGATTTATCTTTCTCGGGAAGTTTCAAGCAAGTAAAATATTCTTGAAATGCTAGATGAAGAAAATCATAGCTTGATTCTCTTCGCAAAACTAAAATATCAAGATTATCATGAATGACTCATGTCATTTCAAATACTTGTTTTTCGAAACGATGAATATCGTCTGTTGTTATCATTGTCGCATTTGCGGAAGTTTTGATTGTTTGAATACAAATTTCTTTTATTTCGTTATTACTAATAAAATTCGATGTCGGATTTTGATGGATACAAGAAGTAATGTCAGTCAAAATTCGAATAACTTGTGATAGTTCAACAGTCAGTTTTTTACTGTACCACAAATGTAGCATTCCTTTGGCAATTGATTCATATTAAAAAATAACGTTGACCAGGTAATGGTGGACCTTCTAATTGACTAAAACCTATTGCAATTCTTTTTAAGTGCTTCACTATGACTGTCTCCTTGATTAGTCAATTGAAGACTTAACATGTCAATTATATGATGATGAACACGAAAAAAACAATAATAAACAAAATCTGTTATATATTTCGAATCCATAGGTCGAATTGTGTAGCGAGAAAATCGTCTCGGTAATGAAGCAGCATGATAAATGACTATAAGACTTGGAACGATCAGTTGATTACGTCCAGATCGAGATGGATCATCTAATAGCTTGTTTACGTATGCATTGTTGAAGGCAGAAATATTTGTAGGTGTTTGAGTTTTAATTTTTTCAAATTTTTCAATAATATTAATAATTTTAAAACGTTGATCTGGAACAGAAATTTCATCAAGATCATCAAATATGATTAGAGCTTGACCTTGCTGAATGTAATTTTGAAGAGTATATGACACATTATCAGAAGAGATTGATGAATCATCAATAGTTGACTCTTCCATCCATTTGTGTTTTCCAATATAATCAAATAAAGTGAGTGATGATTGTTCTTTCAATATTTCGGCAAATTTACCAATACGAATTAAAATTGGTATACGAAGAGAGCTGTAATTAGTTGAATGTTATTCATTGAGAAGAAGTGTTTGTGCAAGATGATGAACAAGCCATCGAACAAAACTTGTTTTTCCACTTCCTGTATCACCCAATCGACATTATGTAAGGACCTGATACTAATCTTTTTCATATTCCTTTAGATGTTTCTTTTCTACTGTTTGCATTCTGTATATTGTCTTCATCTTTTATACGCAATTGTCATGATTCATTTCTTTCAAATGATGTCGATTGATCTGCATTAAATCGAATTAATGTACACGTGATAGAAAATTTGCATAATCGCCATTTCTGTTCTAGTACTCTTCGTTCTTCGTCAGAGACTCGATCTTTAGCAACACTATCAACAGTAAGACCAGGAATAGATTCGCCTCGATATAGTTCAATACAAATACAAAACTAGGATTCGAGCATTTTGGCATATTTTTTAAGTAAGATACGAAGTTTTTCTATGATATTTTCCTTCGTTTGTTATTTCATTTTGTCTAATCTTTGTCTCACTGTCTCATCAAAGTATTTCTGAAGACAAAATTGTTGATCTTGACAAGCATTAGATAGTATTTGGACTCTCATTTCATAATCATCTGTTAGAATAGCTTCGTATTGAGCTAGTCTATATTGAAGACAAAGTAGTACAGATTGGAGTTCCCCATAAGTTACTCCATTAAGATAATTTTCATTTTCACTACAATCTGTAACAACTTCATCGATGGCTTTTAATATTTGTGCAAAGTATTCTTGTGAATGACTTTCATTTACTGTTGTAAATCTGTCATTTAATCTTTGTCGAAGACGAGTCAAATTAGTTGCTATCAATTTCAAATGATCTTGATATACTTTTAGATCATTTGCTCGTTGAATAATATTATTGATTGCTGTTGAGATCGATGCAATGGACGTCATTTAAATTTCTCCAATAGTTTTTCCTACAAGTAAATAGTAGACTACAAAATAAGAGCTGAAGTGCACAATGTAATAATTGTTTCATGTCGAATTCTGATATGATCTTCAATTTTTATTCTAAATAAAAGTTCGTCCCTGGATGAAGTAGAATTCTTCTTCATCAACAGTATTTTTTGCAGCGAACCCATAAGCGAAGTTATTTCCACTGGAAATAAACAAGATGTTCTTTACTGTATTTATGGAAATAAATACGAATCACGAATTAAGTTTAATCAACGCTCAAATCCGTGATGTTATTCAGTACAGGTCAAGTGTATAAGGTTGAGTTCACGTTAATTCTATATTTACATAATCTCTAACGAATAGATTTATTAGAGCTTACAAATATTTGCTTACTATTATGATGTACTTTGCGCACATCAACTCGTTCCATTATAAAATAAAATTTCGTCATCAAATATAAACTCAAAATTATTGCATATAACCATTCGATCACTAGACTTGTACAATGATTCAATATAGATTTTGCTGAGAAACATCACGAATGAATTTCATTTGATAAACTATAGCGAGATCTGCTTTGATTCAGACTATCTCTCTCTCTCTTTGTAAACGAAATGTTCTTTTTTCGAAGACTTACTACTGCATCGTGCTCCATGTAACTGAAATAATAGAAAATGGATCACTTTCTACACAATAAAAACCTTTCTTTTTAGGTTTGTATGAAGAATAAATCTTATTTGTAGCGAGAATAGAGAGAAGAATTATTTTCTTAGTTTTTTTTTCACTTCGTTAGTGTAACGTAAGCTTGTCATATATATATATATGTACTAACATTTCTCTCTATTGTTATTTCCTGATTGTGTCGATATTCATGGCATGCTTCAATGATTTTCTCTTCTTCTTCTTCTTTATCTATCTCATGTAACAACAAACTGTATTAAGTAGCTTGCCACTACTCGGCAGTGATGTTTATTAGCTACTTTACATATCCAAAATGTATCTACTCTACATGTAACACACGCATAATATAGAAGAGAGAAAGACAGAGAGAACAGGAAAGAACAATTGATAGATAAAGAGGAAGAAAAAGGGAAAATCATTGAAGCGTGCTATGAATATCGGTGCACTGATGATGGTAGGAGTACTCACCCACAGCTCGAAATAAAATTAAAGTTGAATTTTTGATAAAAATTTTAATGCATTTTGTAGCAGTTATTTACTCGATCTTACACTCATTAGATCCGCATCTGTATCGATTCATGTTTTTGTCTCGAATTTTCTATAGCTAATAATTTCTATATCACTTTAATTGTCTGCACCCTCAATCCAAATAGATGTCATCCTCATAAATGCCTTTGTTTTTTATTTGCTCTTTTCATCATGCTTTCTGTCGAACGATAGTCCGCTAAATGTATTATTTTTTCCATTTTGATCATTGTTTCATCGAACTATTCATGAATCGTTCAATGACTAGTATAATGAATTTACCCGACGAAATCCTCCTTACAATTTGGAATAAACTCAACAAGCACGATGTACTATTTTCATTTGTGGGTGTCAATAAAAGATTCGACAAACTTGCTCGCGACATAGTTTATATTCGTTCTGTCGAACTCATAGACAAGGAATGGAAGAGAGACAATAACTGTTCCCTACCTGGTTCAGTATTGGATCGATTTATTTTTCAAATATTACCTCAAATACATCAAAGTATCCAATGTCTCACGCTCGAACCATTCTCCATGGAACGTATTCTTTCTGTTGGTAATTATCCGAATCTATGCAAATTAATTCTAGTTAAATTCGACCAACAGTCAGCATTGCATTATTTCAGTAGTAAGAAAATCAAATTATGTGTAATTTAAAGCGATTAAAGATTCAATGATTAGTTCATTTATTAATTCTATGGATCTGTTTTAGACGAATCTCCTTTTATTTCTCTGTTCAGAAACCAGATTTTACAATTAACCATTTCGATTCATTATACTGAATTTGCATCATCACTCATCAATTTAAACAAGAATATATATATATGAATTTCTTCAATATTTATAAATCTAATACAGTTCGATTTCAGTGCTACCGGTTCTTGGCGATCACATACACGCTTAGCAACGTATAATTTACCTCAAATGACTTGCTTCCTATCTAATATTATTAATTTGGGTATCAATGTTGATACATTGGATGATTGTTTATGTTTACTTGATGGTCGTCTAGCTCATCTTCATACTTTAACTGTAAAAATTTATAATATTCAAGCCTCCATGTTAGACATTGACAGTACGGTAAAGATATATATTTGTAAAAAGTATTTTTCTTTTATATTTGCATATTATTATTCAAGGCATTAACTAATCTGAAATATTTTTCGTTAACTTCATGCCGTTATACAAAAACATACGATAGTCACGTCGTGCCTCTTCTCCGTCGAATGATAGATCTCGAACAATTAATGATCTGTCTCACTGTTAATCAGCGGTCGACATTTATCGATGACATTCATTTGGAAAATGAAATTCTTATTCATATGCCACGACTTCGAGCATTTATCTTCAATATTATCACTTACACTCTGATCATCAATGGAGTCAATCAACAATCAAATGATGAATTTTGACGCACATTTCTCAATGGAAGATATCATGAAGTTGTCTCGTATGTGGATCACTATCCAAGAGGAAATGCTCGATCTCACGCTTACTCGCTTCCATATACGATGACTGAAACACTTACAGTCAGCAGTAATTTTCCTGGAGGTTTATTTCTCAATATTCGTCATTTGATGCTGATGGACAGATTCTTCCCGTTCGAACATGATTTTTTTCTACAAATTTCTCAAGCCTTTCCGTTACTCGATTATTTGAGTATCGTCAACCAACAACCACAAAAATACAAACGATCTAATCAACCAGACCTCAATAGTCAAAGATTATCAATTGTTGAGTTTTCTCATCTCACTTATCTCAGTCTTATCTATAACTATATCGATTATGCGGAACAACTGTTGATCGATACAAATGCACATTTACCACGTCTTGTTTACTTGGAGATTTCCTATAAAGATTTGAAAATCGTAACAGAAAATTTTACACGTAATACAACACGTCATAACTGTGCTAAATTGGAGCGTATAAAATTTTATGAATCACTTGTTCATTTGAAAAACTTTTATCTGTATTTCCCTTGTCATAAATAAATTACAATTGAGAATACTAATGGTATCACCACAATCAAAGATAATAAAAAAAATCATCAAAGTTCAATCATTCATCGATAGCGAGCTGTCGAGCAAATTAATCACTCAAATATTTTAAAGATCGTTGCAGTCGCTATTTTTATTTATTTGAACTCGACATGCTCAATTTGGTCGACTTGCGAATCGTCGCAATGATTTTCTCAGAATTCTTAATTGATTACAAGATTTTTTTATCAGTTTATAATATAATCCATAGGGTGTAGATGCGAGTGTGGGTCTCACTCAAGAGAAGAGTAGTACCCACAGACCCACATGCACGCCCACACATTCACATCCACACTCACACCCTCAAGAAAAATAAAATCGGTAAATATTCTTGTTTCTGAAATAAAAAAGAATCTATTTTAATCTGAAATTTAGTCAGATGAAAAATAATAAAAAAAAATTTTTTTTGTTAGATATTTGAAATACTTACACTAAGAAGATAATTAATCGAAGATTCATTTAATATTCCTTTATTTTTCATTTTTTTTTTGTAATCAACCTCACTTTTTTCTTTATTGCTATTTAATAGAAATTTTATTTAAGTATTTCCTGAAAATGTTGATGAAGCATCTTATTTAATAACTGATACTGAATATTGAAAATAAATAACTCTTACGTTTCATTTGTTTAACACCAATAACTAATTTGTTCCATTTTATCTAAAAAGACTAAAAAAGAATTCCTAATTATCAAAATATCAAATTATATACATACACGTTCTCCTTGTTAAAGAACTTCTTTTTTTTTTTATTAAATTGATAAAGAAATATTTTTGTACGATAATTTTTATCAAATAATTCTTTATTAAAATAAATATATTCATGAATTCCATATAAACGAAGATAATCTCGACGAGATCTCTAGCAAAAAATAATTTTTCTTACTCTTTTATTTTTATCAGATTAAAAATAGAAAACCTTATTGTAATTCAAGTACAATTTCTGATCCGTAATATCTTATTTACATATTTTCATGCATATAGAAAGAGAACGAGACCATTTATCATTATTATCTCTTCGTTTCTTATCTTAATAAGAAATATTTGTCGAGAAATTAATCACTACTTGATATATTTACTATAATATAGATTTGAAATTTTCAAAACTAGAGTTCATTTATCTTGATATCTTTTATCTGATCAATTCGTAGCTTCCTAATTGCGGCCAAAAATTAAGCCAATTTAACACATCAGTGATCGCAATTTGAAATAGAGAAGTTAACGTTGATCTCATTTTTAAAAATAAATAGCAAAGAAAATTATTCTTCATCACTACTATCTTTTGCATCTTTAATAATATGGATATAGCGATGACAAGCAGTTCGTAAAAGTTTTTGGTGGACATCAAAATCGACATCCATACCTTGTAAGAGATTGATCTATATCAGTTAATATTCGACGTTTCAATCCGCAAAATACTGTTTGAACATTTTCTGGTAATTTGGTATCTTCATGGTTAGTGCCATCTTTTGATTGTATAATT